TATGATTGGGTATGTTTTGATACCCTTTAACAATCTTGGTTTTGTATTTTATAAGTCTTGTTCTCCTACATTTTTTTTAAGTGTGGATCAAACTCAGGACCTTATGCTTGCCAGACAAGTGCTTATGTCACTGAGCTATCTCCCCAGCCTGATAAGTCTTATTCTATGTCCTCATTATTTTAATACTTGGTTTTAAATTACTTCACAGCTAACAGGTAGTTGCCCAGAGATATTTAATACTCACCTATAGATCTGAATGAAGAACAGAATGATTGGGTTGTAAAATTCCACACTTCTTTTAATAGTATATGTTCCCTTGTATCTTCAAAATTTATTAAAGTTATCTATTTAATCATGTGTTTTACAACAAATAAAAATTTATTTTTTATCCTTGCAGATAGCAGGACAGTCTCCTCACTCTTTTTCGTGTTGTTTCATGGCGCCCAGAGCGCTTGTGAGGCGAGCGCCCACTGCTGAGCTGCTCTCCCGGTCCTTTCCCATTTCATGTCCAGGAGCTGAACTATCACAGTGGCAGACACGGCTACCGCTCTTGACTCCGCTGCAGCGCATGCATCTTGAACCATCCACACGCAGCAACGGGCCATCCAAAGTCCCTTGGTGAGAACCCAGCTGTGCTATAAGCAGCAGTACCAAGCAACAGCACCTGTCCCACACAACGGCCACCACCTTCACACCCTCACCCCTGCAAGGCTCACGACTATCTGTCCCCTCTTCTCCTCCCACCCCAGCTTGCCTGGGTCCAGTCCTCGTTCTCATGGGCAGAGGTCCCCCCTACCCCTTCCCAAATCCCTCCTGCCCAGCAACCCATCCTCAGACAAAACTTTTCCAAAGCACACCAATGGTGGTGCCTCCCCTCATTCCTACAGGACTCCCAGTTCCCGCAAGGCCTTTCACACCTTGACCGCTGCACCCCATCCAGTGCCCCTGCCACCCCACACTTCTGTCTGTGGGTACCTTACTAGCTCCCTGAGCCCAGGGTGACTTGGGCCGAGGCCACTTCCCTCCCCACCTGCTCCATCGTTTCTTCTGGAGGGAGCCTCTCACAACCTGCTCTCTCCCCCTGCTGGTTCATTGGCCCCTCCTCTGTGACACTGCAAACCTGGAAACCTGTGACTATTAAGCTTCTCTTTGTGCCTCTCTCCCTTTCAAGGAGAACCAGGGTCTCTGCTCATTCTTGTGTCACAGGCACCTGGACTGTGCCCAGCTCAGCAAATACAATGAATGCAGTTCAGGGTATACAAGTGCAGTAGTGTTCTGTTTTCAGAATTTGTGCCAAGTTATAAGAAGATGCTTTGCCTCAATCATCCATTAAGCCTTCAAATCCATCAGTGTTTGAAACAAAACCACAAATCCCTTGTATCATATTTAGTATTACACCAGCTTTTTCCTTTCACAATGAGCTATTTTTAATTGACCTGTTTAATTAAACAGGCTTTGAAAATAAGGATGGGTTGGGGGATGTTTATTTTCGAATCTTCCCTGCCTCCCACGATAGATTTTAAGCTGCTCTTTTTCACCTCAGGGCCTTACACAAAGCAGGTGCCTGACAGACTTTACTGTGTCAGCTAGCAGGCCGCCTGCAGGGGCGCCCTCTGCAAACTGGCTTGAGTCTGCTGCCCTCTCTGAGTCTCCAGCAGAGAGCGGGGCCAGCACGGCTCCCCACCACTTGCTCCTTCCCACTTTGCTCCGTTCTCTCATACATTCCTGCCTTCTACTCAGGCTTGATCATTCCCTCAGGGAGCAGCATGGGTCCCCAGCAGCACCCTAGGCAGCACGCTGGGCAACGGGAACAGGAAAGTCTTGGAATGAGCAGCTGGTACAGCCCTGGTTTACTCCACAAAGCTCAGCAGATCTCATTTTCAAGAGGCTTTGGCTCCACCAAGTCTCCCAGCTGCCTTTTGCTCCAAACTGAGCCTCTCATTCATTCCCCTGGGACCAACATACCCGCCTCAGTCTCTTCCTCCACCGAGGTCACCATCCCGAGTGACTCAGGCATTCCAGAGAACACCTGGCACCATGGTTCCGTGGGTGTCTGCTCTCACAAGTGGCCCAGCGTGATACTGGATACTGTCACCCAACAAAGCCTGGGATCCTGCCCTGAAAGAGCTCCTAACTGTCCCCGACATACTGCATGCAGCCCGCAGAACCGAGCACCAGGAGACCGCAGGAGCTCTTGGTCACCGCTGTCCTCACACTGCGCAGGGTCCTGCAGCTGCCCTCCAAGGCCCCCATTTAGTCCTGCTCCTGGTATCTGCACTCAGACACTGTCCTTTTCATAGACACAAATTAGAAACTCTTGCTTTTCTCAAGCTAAATCAGATACATTCTTCACTCATTCATGCAGCAAAGATTTTTTAGTTCATCTGACTCCTTGTTTAGCATCTAGGGGCAGTGAGAGAGACACAGAGCAGAGGAGGAACACAACCAGTGAAGTTAAACAAAGATATGAGTCCTGACATGTTTAGTGCTTTGAAGATAACTAAGGCTGGGTGGCAAGAGGAATACAGAGAACCACAGTGCATATGGGGCACCCAGAAAGGGTCTGGTAGAGAAGCCTGCATGGGGGCTAGAAGCCAAAGGCCAGGAGCAAGGCACAAAGCAAGCCACGGTACGTGGGCCGAGCGTCCAGGTGACCACAGTAGACCCGAGACCCCACAGCAGGAAGCTCCCAGAGTGGCTGGGGATACTGAGGAGGCCCATGTGATGGAAGCAAAAGGAGCCAGTGGAGAGCAGGGGAGACGTGACTGGGGAGGAAACGTGCAGGCAGCCCCTGCTGGTGATGCTGAGGGTGCCAGTTTAGTCCGAGTGACTTGGGGGCCAGGAATGTGATGTCACCTACTTGTGCTTCTTGAGGGTGGTCCTGGCTGCAGGGCTAAGCACAGGTAAGAACAGGGAAGGCTGACGGGCCACTGCAAGGTCCGATCCAAGACCCGGGGCCTGGGCTTCTGGGCTCTCATACATTCCAGACACCAGCCCTCCAAGACTGGTCCCGGAAGGGGTGTGGTGTGAAGAAGGCTCAAAGAAGACTACAAAGATTTCATCTGCAGAGGCTTGACCTCAGGAACATATCTTCCACTACCAAAAGCTCCCTAAGTATCTCCACTCCTGGCTCCAAAACATTTTCTTCACTCTCCTCTTCAGGTGCCTTAATTTTTTTTTACACAGACCATGCTTTGATCAAAACAAATGACATTTTATTTAGCTTTATGATTTTCTTTTCCAGCTTTTGTTTTTTGGTTTTTGTTTTTGTTTTTGTTTTTTGTCTTCTTTTGTTTTTGAGACAGGATCTTGAGATGCAGCTCAGGCTGGCCCTGAGCTCACTTTGTAGCCCAGGCTAGTCACAAACTCAAAACATTGCTCCTGTCTCAGCCTCCCAAGTGCTGGGATTACAGGTATGTACCACCACACCCGGCCCCTTTCCAGCTTTAATAAGTGTGAATAACACAGGTTTCCAAGCAGAGTAAGAATGAATGAACACAACATACCAGTTCTTCCACAGTGGCAGGACCGTTTGATCTCAGACGCAGCGTCCCTCTGGCAGTGCCAATATTTTCCACCGATGTCTTTCCAGATTTTGACCTTGGTCCTATTTCTGCAAACATACAACAAATGGGAAAAGGTAGATATACATTCTAAGGAATTCCAACAGACTATTGTGAAAGTTAACGTGTTTCCTTTCAAAAACTATACAAAAGGTTGCATGGACATATCTTCTTAAAGAATTGCCTAAGGGCTGGCCAAACAGCTCAGCAGATTAAAGCAGCCTGCAAGCAGGCACAGGGGCCAGGGTTCGATCCCCAGGCCTGCTGTGCCGGCCCCGCCCCAGGGGCATGCTGAGCCGCAATTGAGACTGGGCATGGTGGCGCTTGCCTGTAATCCCAGCTCCTGGGAGGCTATAAACAGGCCGATCACTATGAGTCTGATCTAGTAGTGAGACCCTGAACGCCCTGTAGGCCCTTCCCTGAAATACAGAAAGAAAAGAATTGCCTAAAGCAAGTTCCCTTATCCTAGGTGGGAGTCTCTATGATAGAGCCGTAGCAACAAAAAGAAGAGGAAAGTGTATAATAAGCCAGGCCCAGTGTTAGGAAAGGGGAAGAAACATAAAACAGCCGGCTTTATTGTAAGAGTAAAGAGATACACGTAGCCAGAAAGCCTCAGGCCTGTTCAGCAGGACTTGGCCCGTGGAGGAGGAAGAGAATTCCCTCTTGAACAAGGAGAGAGAGCAAAGCCCAACAGTCCTGGTGCACGCTCCTTCCCTGTGGGGGCTTTGCGTTTTGCTCTCTTCAGTGCACCGAAAGTCGCGCACTAACTACTCCCCATCCCAAGCTGTAACATGAATGGGTGAAAGGGAAGCTGGGACTAAGCACAGTCTGAGCGCATTTGCCCTCTTAGACCACTCCAACAACTGAGGCCCTGAGGGAACGCAGCCCTGCTTAGCCAGCTGGCCAAGAAACTAGATACTCAGCAAGTGGATGAATTGCCAAGAGTGTTCAGTCCAGGCAATTAGGCCACGCAAACATATTGCAAAAATAAACGAGGTGCATTCTAAACACAACAGTTTCCACCCTCTGTAAACATCCCCCATTGTCGCGGCGGTCTCGGTGGTCCCAGTCGGCAGGAAGCTGCAGCGCAGGACTGGAGATCACAGAGCTCAGAGGAAGACTCACACCGGAGGGTGACGCAAGGGCCCCCGAGGTCAGGGCGGAGCTCTCCGGAAGCAGCTGCGCTGGGCGGCCTTACCGACTTACAGTAACCCTCGTTTTCGGACCCGTACTGTTTTCTATTGGGAATCTACACCACCGTCATTAAGGATATTGCATATTTAATTTTAACCTGCAATTCGGGAAAGACCAAACCATAAAACATGCTTCCCCCGGAAAATAAAATTCAAAGCAGTAATTATGCAATGCATACACCAGCTTCCCCTGAGCAAAAAGCTCTCACGGGTGGCTGAGGAATCTGGGGCACCCAAATGCTAGTCACCGTGACCCAACAGGTTCCCAGAAGATTCAAGCTGAATCAACAAGTTTGCGGCATCGGCCTTGCCAGCTACTCCGCGCCTGAGGAGAGAAAGCGTTCTCAGCCGCTCAGCAGAGTTCCAAAACAATGCGCCAAGAAAAGATCAGGTTATTCTGGCCTCAGTGTGGAGCAAGGTTCTGCACTACCGACGTGTCGCCAGCCTGGGCCATTCCCCCGCTACCCAAGGTGCCTACTCGGCTCAGACCACCTGTACTAACCATCACACGGCGCGCATGCGTGAGACCTCTGCAATTTCACCAAAGACTCCGCTCAGTATAATTTCTTTCCAAAAGTTTCCTTCCAGGTACAAAAGAAACTGTTCCACTAACAACTACATATGTTTCTAACTGGAAAGCAATAGATTGGCTTTTGTCGTATCAAGTGTCTCTTGTAAGTTTTGTGAGCATGAGCTATCCCTGGATAACTGAACCACCCCAAATTCACTGAAAAACGAGGTTTCTAACATTTACAAAACTAAGGACCCGGATGCTGGATTGTGGGGTTCGTACAGACGCGGTCACCCCTGCCTGAGCAGTGAGCTGGCCTCCCGAGAGGGTGCCTTTGCCTTATCTTGCTCTTCCTGCAACACTAGCTGCTACAAGGGAAAATGAAGGTAAAATAGAATCGATTATCAGTAAGCTATCTTTAGCGCAGTTTTAAGCTCACAGCAAAACTGAGCAGAATGTATACAATTTCCGACGTGCCTTCTTCCCCTGTCCATCTACAGCCTCCCCAGTATCAACGTCCCCATCACACACGACATTTTTCACAACTGATGCTGCTGTTGCAGCAGCAACCAACTTCCATGGCTGACATTGGGGTTCACTCTTTTTTTTTTTAATATTTTCACTGAGAAACAAACAGCAATGAGACAGTTTCACAACCCATTACTAGTACATTTTCAATAACTAATACATTGCATATTGTTGTCTTCGTGGTTATTCATTGTACAAGATGCAGCCCTGATAGCCTGTCTCAAACACTGTTAGAACAAACCTCTCTATTCATTGAATTAAGAGAATGGAGCTGTATATCTATCCTAACTATTTTAAGTATACACATTCAAAATGGTCATTCATTTGTATCCTCCATTTTTGGTTAGTTTTGTCAGAGAAGGGCATTCCATTGTCATTTAAATACTGTAGGTCCATTAATTCAGCAATATTGGGGTTCACTCTTGACAGCTGACATTGGGGCCTGTCCTATGGGCTTGGATAAACATATAATAACACGTATCCACTATAATCAGATTGTACTGAATAGGATCACTACCCTAAAAGCGTCTCTTATCTGCCTATCCATCGAACCTAAGTATTTCTAACCTGGGACTGGATTGAACCCAGGGCCTCTGTGCATGCTGGGAAGTGCTCAACACCTAGCTACACTCTCAGCTCTCCTCCCAGATTTCTCAAGCACTAGGCACTGGGTTAGCCTTCTTGAAAGTGGTATTTCTAAAGTAACCGCTTGGTGGCAGCAACGCAGAAGTTACATTTTAAATCCTGGCTTGAACTGACCTCCAGAAAGTCAGTTTTCACCTCTAACGAAACAGAAGCCAGGTTGCTTCAGGGTGCAGGAGCAGAAGTTGGCCTGTTTGTACATAAAAACAGGGCAAGATAGACATGCTCACCTGCAGTGGGGAAAACAGGTTTTGTGTTTGGGATATGTTCTGAACATTCTGAAGTTAACAGTCTGGCCTGCTTTCAGGCGCAGGCCTGCCTTGGCACAGCTGACCCGCAGGCCCCGCCCTAAGCCAGTCACTGGAGTGCTGGATTCACAGGAGGCCTCAGGGCTGAGTCAGGAGGAGGCAGCAGTTCACTGCAGGCCCTGGCACCCAGCCCGCAGCAGCCGGCTGAGTCACTGGCTTCCCTACCTGGGGAAGGTTACCAGGGTTCCACCCGGGGCTGGAACACTCCACCTGGGGGGCACCCAGCTGCAACTGAATCTCCAAGAAGTTATGTTTGTTCCCAAACCCTTTTTGTGGCAATCCTGTCTTTGACTCTCATTGGGACTGGATCTAAAAGTACATGAGCTGGTGAAATGAGCAGTTATTGCTAGAAAAACTAGGTTGGCTGCGTTGGAATGCCTCCATAAAAGTGAACTGCACATGATGATAATAGTAATAACAATAATAATGATAATAATAGGTGTGGTGACCAAGATGACTCTAGGAGACTAGAGAGAAAATACCTTTAAACATCTCTCTATACATCACCACTTCTAGCATCGTTTCTAAACATCTATCACTTCTGTACTACAGCATCACATCTACAATCGTATCTTTTTTCTTTTTTTTCAAGAAAGAGAGCTCACAGATGCTCATTAATGTAATTATGTAGAAAAACGCCAGGGCCAAGGATAGCACTCAGCAACAAAGCACCTGCCTGGTAAACGTGAGGTCAGAAGTTCAATTCTTGGTACCAAACAAAGGGAAAAAGAAAAACTTCACAGAACACCAACTTGTGACTTCTATTTAAAGAAAAGCCCTTTTCTATGAAGAGTAGAAAGTACTACATTTTTACATCTTAAAGTATAGTAAAACATTTATATATGTGCACATGAAACATAAGCAAACATTGGGCTACTTTTAGTTTTTTTAATTTATTACAGTAAAAGTCATATTGCCATTAATCCCCTTCACAGGGCTCCCCGTCCCTTTGAACACAGCCCATCCTCCTTACCACTTTCTGAGGTATTTCTGAAGTCCTTTTTTTTTTAAGATTTATGTATTTATTTGGTACATATGGAATGCAGTACCAGGGATCAAGCCCAGGTCCTCGCGCCTGCCAGACAGGCACTAGACCACTGAGCACCTCCCCAGCCCATGAGATGCTCTTTCATAAGTGTTTCTACTTGCGCCACCTTGGCTGCTCCGATGTCCTCAATGGATCTGAAACATTTCCTTTCATGGTCATTTTGACTCTGAAGGAAGAGCGGGAAGTCATAAAACACCACAGCTGCAGGAAGGTGGGGGACACACCGCGATGTTTATATTCGGCAGAAATTGCCATAAGTGTTGTATCTGTACTCTGTTTCTGGCTTTGTTTCTGATATGCTGCTTTTGCTTTTACTCTTCAAAATTAAATTAAATTAAATTTAAAGTAAAAAATAAATTTTTAAAAGGGAATTTTTCACTTTGACTAACTCTGTATGCTGATATCTGCTATCTGAGCTACTACATTGAGGACAGCAGTGTGTAATACAAAGCCCATGGTTGAATACCTCTCATTTTGGTCTTCTAAATGTGTACCATTTCTAATGTCTTATCAATTATTATTATACTCTTTAAAATAATACTCTTTTAGGGCTGGGGAGATAGCTCAGGAGAATAAGCGCTTGCCTGGCAAGTACAAGGTCCTGAGTTCAATCCCCAGTTCCTAAAAAAAAAAAAAAAAGAAAGAAAATAAATTTTAAAAAAATTTAAAAGACAAAAAAAACTTAAGGTTTATGGAAATCAAGCATTAACATTCGATTATTTGTCCAATCTTGCATAACTATGTCTGTTAATCTGAGCAACAGATTTGACAATAAAAATAGGTAATATAACAACCACTGCTAATTTGCTATTCTCGTTTG